GGCTGCATGTGTTCGCTTTGCATAAGCGCCGCTCGCCGCCGGCCACGCGCTCACCGCGCTGCGCCGCCCGCTTATGCAAACGCTGCAAAAAGTCACATGCCTACTCAAGGGCCCGATCCTGAAGCACTTACGCCACGAAGCAACATCGGTCACGCAAGCAATCCTCAGCAGGACTGCTCCCGAGACTGATGGTGCTTCCAGCGTGAGTGTTTGCAGGATCGGAGCCGGCTGTGCGAGCTCATCCCTTACAGCCAGGCAAGGCACGAGGAGATGCCCAGTCCTGCATCTCTGCCTCCGGATGGGATGCGTGGTTTAACATTGATGGTGTTGAGCCGGTGCCACCATGTTGTTCTGAGCCTACCTAATTTTTGCATGCATGCACGAAGCCTTTCTTCAAGATTTGACACTCTGTTCTGAAGCTCTTCGTAGTCATAGGCGCCAATCTCTTCCTGGAGTTCGTTTAGAACTGACGTCAGATTCTGGACCTCCTCTTTAAACTGCAATACCAATTTTGCATCGGCTTTGTACTCTTCCAACACTGGTATCAAAGGCCTAAGTTCCTCCATTTTCGCTTTTATTGCCTGCAAGGTTAAAATAAGCTTGGTTCAGTGCTATGCGTGCAAAAATCTGCAACACTCTGCCTTGACCTGGTTGCTTCCTACGTGAGTGCAAGCTTCATATCCCACAATTATTATCATTAAAATTATTTTAATTATTATTTTGGTCCAAATGATGTATTGGAAAGAACATATTAAACAGGCTGCAGAACACCAAAATATTTGGGAAAGGCCTTTATTTGTCATTTTTAGAATGCAACATCTTAGGGTTACATGCTTCAGATCACATACACAAAGAGTTCTTTTTTTTTTTCTTTCAAAAAAAAAAAATAAATAATATATATATGCATTGACAAGGGTTTCAAACTATTCATGAAATGCATCTACAATTGCATGCAAAGGAAGATCTTGGTTGTGTGGTTCAAGGTTCCTTAGTGAGATATGGTGCTAATTTGGAAAATAATCAAAAAAATCAATGCATGGTGCAAAATGCTCTGTGGCCCTCTTTTCATGGTTACATGGGAGTGAACTGCTTCTTCAGTCACTGCAGCATTGAAAAAACTTGCTTTTAAGTTAGCCCTGTAAGCAAGAAAATGAAATACTGTTGAGGATCTAGCTCACTAGCCTGCCTTATATAGATAGCCATTCATAGACAAATACTCTCACGGAATTAAAGAGAAATAAAAAAAAAACAAAACACCACAAGAGCTCCAAACCACTCACATTTTAATGCTGGCATTAGCAGAAACAAAATGCTGTGGCTGTTATTTAAAATGGTGCTTTGGCAGCAAATTAGACAAAAACTCCTTGCTGTTTTTAGGCATGCTATAAAGAACACAAAAATCAAAGTCATTATCAAATTTATTTTGCAGAAATGAAGACTTTTTCCTTTTCTTTTTTTTTTTTTTCTTTTTAAATTAAATGAAGGCCTCGTTTAAAGGCACGGTATGCAGCATTTTGTTGAAGATGCTTTGCTCCAGCAGCTAATGAGTAGACATAAATATGCATGCACCTACCCGTTAATGAAGCATGTCAGTACACCCAGTATACCTGGGGCTGCTCAAACTATCGCGCAGCGGCCAAGTCCCCAGCACTCAGGGCTGTGACATCTGCCTGGCTGCTGAAGCAGCTCGAGGCTGAACGGGATCAGAAATCGGTTCTCAGCCTCATTTCTTTCCTTCCCATCCCCTATTTAAATCCCTCCTCTGGTCTGATTGTGGGGAATATATTTATTTTCTTATTTATTTGTACTTCCCGGTGCAAGCTCCCTGGCAGGCAATGGGGAGGATTAAACTCATCGGAATGGAGGAGAAAAAGAAAAAAAAAAAAGAAAGGAAAGAAGAAAAAAAAAAAGGAAAAAAAAAGGAAAAAAAAAAAAAAAGAAACTCATGCTAAAATCAGAAAGATGGTCCTTACACCCAGACTGCAGAGCTAAGTTTAGGGTCCTGCAGTAACTGGAGATAGGGAGTGGAGGAGGTGGAGTTGGTGGAAAGTTTTAAGAACCTTCTTCCCAGCTTTTTATGATGTAATCTGGGTATTTCGGTATTTAACATTACCAATTAAAAAAATTCTGCTTGAAAATGCCAGCCAGCTGGGCAGCTGCCTAGAAGTAAGGATGGGAATCAGCTGGGTGGCAGATCAGAAACAACCACAAATTTCACTAGAAATCTTCCCAATTTGTTTCTTATGTCTATTAACCCAAAGCATTACTAAAATTTAACATTCCAAACATTGCTGACAGCCTCTTTTTGGCAATTTCATTTGTTCTCAGTCAAGTTCTTGAAAGTTCGACCATTGCTGACAACAAGAGCCTCATTTAAAAGGCTGATATCTTTACCTCTCATTTGTAGGACACCAGGACAAAACCCTATAATCCATCAGAAGGTGTCGGCTCTGTTGCCAACACCATTGCTTCAAAACTGGATGTCTGAACATCCCTGAGATGCTGCAACGGTTGTACTTTTGGGGTTTTTTTTTGCCCTATTTGGGGCACCCAGGTGGTTTGTGGGTACGGGAATGCTGAGATTTATGCTTTTATCCTATAGAAAAATGAGCTGCAGCTTAGGATGCGATGCTGCAACCTGGACCTGGTCATGCTTTGGACAGAAGGGAGCTGCACGGGTGGGCACGGACCAACGGCTACATGAGCTGAATGGGACTGGGGCCACGGTCCCGTGCGTACCCCGCTAAATCCCTGGGCACAGCTTCGTTAGCAGTTTCGAAAGCGAACATACCTTAAACTGCCTTGCCAGGTGCTGCTTGTGGCTTTCTTCCACTTGCTTAAATTTTGATTCCAGTCCCCTCATCTGGTTTTCCATCTTCTCAACGTACTGTAGGTCTCTCTGAGTCCGCCTGTCCAACACCTCTATCGACTGGGACATGTTTTGCACCTGTCAAATGAGAAGAGGTTCATTAAGAAGGTGTCACTTCCCCAGCAGCAGCAGCCCCGCTCGCATCCCAACACTGACCTTTTCCCACAGTCAACACAGCTAAAGGGTAATCAGCCTATGCATTATTTACTAGTTAATCAACAGCATCTCACAGTATTATGACCCCCACGCTCCAAAATAGAGCAAACCAGTTTCATGAACATTTATTCTGCGGCGCTGCAGAGAATAATTTAACAATCACGCGTGCAAATAAGGGTTGTAGTCAAGGCTGAAACACATCTCTCACCGTGGCCTCTTCGAGAGGCTGGGATGGCACCTGCCTCCGTGCCAGGAGAGGCTCTTAGGTGAGCAGAAGAACATCTGACTGCGAGGAACACTTCTGCTGAGGTGCACATTATCATTTCTACGTGTGCGTGAGTGACACTCGCTGATTGCCTAAGTGCAAACTTTCCTCCCAGCTAGTAAAAACTTCATTATCCAAACAGCCCTACTATTTATACAGCATCTGGCACAACAAATCCAGCTGCAGATGAGGGCATCCTGGAGCTGGGAAGTACCACGGGAGCTCCCGCTCCGGCTGGCCCCACTGGTGCCTGCCCACTCGGGGGGGTTTCACCGTGTCAGCATCTTTTCTACCCGACGGATGCCGCATCCCCGCGGCTCCCCGCGCAGCGCCCATCTGGCCCTGCCGAAGGAATGATGCAAGAAGGTTGGCTGGGCTCATCGTGAGAAAAAGAGCTGAAGGTGTAAGGAGGGGAGGGGAACGATAGCTAGGCTGACCTGATTTTGAAGGCTGGCTGTCATCTGATTTATTAAGATATTCCCTTCTCTCATTTTTCAGGCTAGGAGAGGGAAAATGAAGCTCTGACTTAGCCAGGCACTTGCTTAGCTTCTATTTAGCACTCAGCAATGGGTGTGATTTAAGGTCTTTGCATCAGGGATGGTTGTGTTTGTACATCACAGGGCTCAGCCCACAACCGGGGCTCCTGCCACGGCCGCGTTACCCACAAACACGACTGTCGGCATCGGTAGGGATGACGCCCATGTCGAAAATGAATCAGACATCCAAGCACGCTGCTGTGTCATGGCCCTAACTCAAGGCATCCTGGTTCAAGTCTCTTCATCTGTGGGTGGCTGAGCAAAACCCAAATGTGAGCCAGCGCTGTCTCTGCGGATCCGCTCCGCGATGCGTCCCAGAGCCCACGCTGCCACATCCGCTCCCGTCTCCGGCCTCACCGAAGGCAAGAGCAGACAGGCTGGGACGAGGAAAGAACGGTGCAAGTGCAACATTGCCTCCAGCAAATCACACCGGGCTGCTGTGACTTACCTCGAGTGACCGAGCGAGGTGACGGTGGGACACCCGCACATGCCAGGTCTTGGAGACTACTTGCTGAAACCAGCATAGGTCAAATGCCAACTTTGGTGTCTGCATCTCTGAAGGGATCAAAATGCCCATTGCTCATGCATGATGACAAGAAAACTATTACAGGGAGCTATTAAAAATGTATGGGTAACCTATATTTCAAAGGCCAACAGAGAGGAAACATTTTGTACAACCAGTACAACTGCTCTGGGGGTCTAATGGTCTTCCTCATGAAAGGTGAAGCTATTTTCAGTCTCCGAGTCCCAGCACATCACCCAGAGATGAACCAGCACCCATCCTGCCTACCACCGAGGACCTGCTCAGGGAGGTGTGAGGAGCAGAGAAGAGCAGAACAAGATCCTCTTGGTTTGAAGAGGTTTTCAGCAAGAGCCCGTGGGGCTCCCGTTTCACCATGCCTCCCCCGGGGTACGTCAGCTTTCAATGGACACGGCTGGATGCTAATTCACCTGTGCTGGATGTGGAGAGAAGACCTCTCTCTACCCCAAGGCAGGAGAAGGGAAGTCTTAGACAAGCATGACTGGTCTGCAGATATTTTTCTCCTGGTAATCCAGTCTATCCTCCTCTGAGTCGAGCTGTATCTACATAGAATTGTTCCAATGGGCTGGAATAGGAATGACTTGTCAGGATCGTACAGACTTGATCTAATTTATTCCACTAACGCCTAACTCCAATTAAAGGCCAAGCTGCAAGCAATCAGAAAAGAGCATTTTGGTGATGATAGGCTGGTATCTGACCCCGCAGGGGCTGAGCGAGGCTACGGGGGCTCCTGACGCTGCCTCTTGGATGGCAGAGAAGGAGAGACAGACTCCGCTGGGAAATGAATCGGAGCATCTCGCTCAGGCTTGTGCTCTGAGTCACCTCTGGAGGAGCCTGCCTCTCCCCTGACTGCAGAGGAAAAGAGCCTCCTCACATGTGTCTAAACTGAGATGCCTAAAATTAGCTGCTGTGCTATTTCAGGGATGTGTTTTACAAGTCCAGACTTGCTATTTCTTGCCTGTATTGTTTTCAACCAGGCAAGATTCTGGTCAGTCTCCATCATTCCTGATCTCTGCGTGCTTCATCAGCTGAAGATCTACTTGTTTTCCTTCATTAGCATATTAAGCCCTTGATCCAGCAAAGTACTTGGGCACATGATTAGATTTCAAGGAGACTGTTCATAGCTTAAACTTAAGCATGTACATAAGTGCTCTAATGAACAGAGATCTAAGGATACTGCCTCTCAAATTCCCTCAGCTTCATCCATTAACTGCTATTCTCAAACATCAGCTAAAATGCTTTTGGCCTCCATTGGTGGAACACGCACTGTCAACAAGAAATCTCATTTTCCATCAAGCTAATGGGAGAGAGATACCTGCCATTGTCTTGGGGAAAAGAGTTAATTTTAGCATTTGAAATAGAAAATTGATACAAACGAAACTTCCAGTGCTGTTCTTGTCATCTTCTTTGAAACTGAGTTGTTTCAGAATTAAACCAGAGTAATGGAGAGTCAATATTGGCCTGATGACTCTACTGAGATTTATATAGCCAAAGCCATGGTTTAAACCCTACTCCAGCTTCGATGAGGATCGTTTTTCGTGCTAGCTCAAAAGAGCTGTTCTAAGCCCATTTTGAGGTTTGAATTAGGATGAATCTTCAGCTTTCGGTAGCTGGACAAACTGGTGAAGCAGTAACATGAGATATCTTGAGGGAGAATTTCGTGGCCTACAGGAAGAATTAGCAGAGAGATGGACTCAGCCGATGGACCAGGACATGAAAAGTTCATCTTACAAGGTCTGTAAAAGGCAAAATGAAGGCTGAGAAGAGATGTCATTGCCCTCCCTACTTAAACATCTAAGTGAATATCAAAGGAACAAAAAGAACTGTTTAATCTGGAAACTAGTGCTGGCAAAGAATAAGAATTGGCAGGAAACCAAAAATGGTTTAACCATCAGAGGAGGAAGTCCTCCCAGATAACAGGGCCAAAATAAATTAAATAAAAATCTGTTTGAAGATAAACCAGAATTTGTTTATGAACAGGATTTAGATGATGCCTTGGTTTGATTGCAGTCCAAGATCTGGACTCAGCACCTGACACATGCAAGGCTGGAAGGACTCCGTGTACTCCAGCCAAAGATGAGCTCAGGCACCTCGGTGTCAAAACACGGGCTGAACAGTGTGTGCGCTGGCACGCGGACCTGGCTCACCTCACCTCGCCCGACGCCTGCTCTTTACACTGACGGGGTGCCCAGGATTCACTTGCTACCAGCATGAACTGCAGTTCCTCTGCATATGCCCGTGCCCATGTGTTGAGGGTGATGGGGTCTTGGCAGCTTTCAACCACATTCAGCTGCGGAAGCTTCTATGCGGAGATTTTCACTGAAGATGCTGTAATTGGTTTGTGTTACACACACACACAAATGCAGCTTATTTCTTGCCTGTGAAAGCAACGCCTTATTATTTCCATAGGTGAATTCCAGGTCTCCTCCTTTGAAAATCCAAATGCAATTACCTCTTTGACACATCGTGCTTCTTCATCTGCTGGCAGAGAGAAACCAGGAGATGCGAGCTTCCCCACCACGAAGCTAGAGTTAAAATGTCAGATGAGGGAAGGAGTTCTCAGGTTTGAAATTCTTGCTGCGAAGCTGGACGCTTTTCTCTGCGGTTGCGTTTTCCTATAGGGATTATCATTCCAGCCTCCATCAAGATCAGATGTCTGGCACTAACAGCCTATTCTTTATTTTGGGGTTTTCATATAGGTTAGCGTGGGAGTGAGACGCAGACAGATTAGCAGGCAGGTAACATATCTCCAGAACACATGCCTCGAAATACTGCTCCTCTCTTATCCATCGGCAGCCAGAGAGCTGCAGGAGGGAAAAAAAATCACTGAGCACTTGCACCCTCCGCTCGGGAACTGGTGTTATCCCAGGGCTCGTCCACCCAACTTGCCTGTGCATTAGCAGAGGGCGTTGGGGCAATTCCTGCTTGTTTAGTGCCTATGAGCCATTCTGGGAACACGGTGGCTCTCGGGCGCCCGTGTCAGCTGCTGCCTCTTAGACAAACGTGCTGTTGGACCAATTGCTGCTATTGCTTAGAAAAATAAAAGCTTGAGTGGGATTATTTTTAGAAGCCTCTGATATACCAAAGAAATGTTTTAGGGCTAAATGTTTCCTGCCTCACTTTATTGTCCTTATCACACAGGAAAATCAGTTAAGTGTGGGTTTAATATTGTTATGAGTGACTAATACATCACCTTCCCTAAAGCAGCGGGATAAAAATTATTTTGTCATGCACAACACATGCCAACATAGCATTAGGGTGTGAGGGATAATCATATATATCCAGCACAGGGGTCCACTTACATTTTAAAGAGAAGAGCACTGTTTCACATGAAACAGCATTTATTCCATGAAATCTATTATCTGGAAAATTTCTTGTTATCGGGAACGTTGCTCTAATGAGATTCTTTGATCTCTTTGGACAGTAGACTATTAAAAACTAATCAAGTAGATGTCAACATTAGAAAGAAAACCACTGGCTGTCATTTCTGTGCTGTTTGATGTCGACAGCTTGTACTGTTTTATTCGACCTTTTTAATATCAGCTTGGCTAGGAATGCATGGACTTTGGGTTTCTAATTCTATCTTCTCTCATTTTGTTGAGGCTCATCCTTTGAAACTGCTTGTGTTAACATAATGAAAAGAACGAGTAAATGACATCTTTTTTTTTAGTGATACAGTTCCTTATTGTTGCTTTGATCTCAGCAGTTTTAACCCGATCTTAGGCCACAATCTCTTTTCCTCTGTGCCTCAGAAACACCAAGAGATTTAAACTCCCAACTGTGGCTGATTATTCCCCACCACACGCACAGGGACAACCACGGCAGGGGAGGGCTGGCCCAAGGGGTCCGTCCATCTTCCCTGGAAACCAAGGCTCAGGCCAGCTCGCTCACGTTTTTACCCCCAACGTCATGCCAGACCAAACCACATTTCCCAGAAGTGCTCAACCATTACCTTTTCTAATAGTTGTCTCAGCTGCTTTGTCCTGGCATCACGCGAGCACATCGTCTGCTGAGGTGCCACCACTGTGCATATACAACGTCCCTCGCTATCTTGGGCAGAGCTGTAGACCTGCCAGCTTTCCTCTGGGTTGGTAGGCAACACCTGATTAACACAGGGAAAG